CAACTCCTGCCTGACGATGCATTTCATTTCATGCACATTTACACGCAGCTCCTGCAGAAGGACCATATAAGGTTGCTGCTCCTGTTTTGTCCTTAAGCCAACGCTGACAGGCCACAATGTGCGTGTGGCACAGAGTGTGTGTTTCAGATGCAAATTTGCTGGCAACGAGCTGCTTTTTTGCAGCATGCAACCAGCTCTCTGGCTTATTTATAAGATTTGCCCGCCGGCAGCACACTTCGCACATGGGTCAAAGCTGATTCCGTTTGACAAAACGCCCAAGTCGGGGACGGGGCCAGAGACAGAGACAGAGACAGAGACAGAGCCAGGAACAGAGCACGAGCCACACCCGTTGACTGATTGCCCTGGTTTGTTGGGGCATGGCAAGTGCTTAGAGCGAATTTGTGGTCGAGTGCAGAGTCTGCAGGATCCAGAGACCATCCAGCATGCAGCATCCATGCAGCAGCCAAGGATGAAGCGCATTCAGCCGAAGAATGAAAGGCAATGGCGTAAATCGACTAGTTATTGCCACAGATTGCCTTGGTTGGGTTGTTCGGGGTTAATTAACTTCGTTGAAAGGCAGTGCCACCAGGCCTCGCAACACAAGCAGCAGATGCGCTAATTGATGTCCTCCTGCCACTGATCCTGTCACTGAAAAGTGGAAATTTATTCAAGGCCAACCTGTCGCACACGAAATACGAAATGCGAAATGAATTTTCCCCAGAAGTTGTCGTTTCACGTGTCAACAGTGGCTGCCAGAAGTGTGTGTTTACTTTTGAATAATAAGCATTTAATTTCTGAAGACAGCTTGCCTTGGAAGATGGTTGATATTTCAACGATAAATATCTGACATTCCGCCCTTGGAATTCCAATTAAAACTCACTTCATTTGCTCAAGTGTGTGTTAATTATTATTACTTAAATACATTGCACAAATATGTGCATTGTATTATCTGCACAGGCTCCTTAGGCCAACGAAAGCACTTCCTTTACGAAAAGTTTTCATTTAATATTCCCCCTCAATTACAACGTACGTGAAAACTTTTGACAAGCAGCTCCTTTGTGCTGCAGTCGATGCAAATTAACCAACATTATGTCTGCATAATGGCAGTACGTGCCCTTAGACCTCCCCCCTCCCCCTCCCCCTCCCCCTTCCACCTTTTGCATTGCCTTGGCGCGGGGCGGCACATAAATCAGGCTTAATATGAATTATTGATTCAGATTCAATATAATCCAAATATAGTAATGCAGATTAAAAGAATTTGAATGGAAGCTCAAGCCTCCGCTCCAGACACTCGCCCACCCACCCACTAGGCATGCCAAGGGAAGCACGCCTCCGCAGGCATGTGTGGATATAGGCCTCCACCATTCACACACCCCCCATAAATGGGGGGCGGGAGCTGGGCTGAAAAGTTGTTTAACCCCGAAAACGGTGCAAACGGAATTTAATAAATACGTGCACGGCATTTGTGATTCTGTTTCGCTCGCTAAAAGCTGCTAAAAACAAAAAAATAAACGAACAACTTTCCAAAATAATCGCCCGCTTGGCTGCAATTAAAGAGCTTCCCGCCGCAGCCATAAACCGAATCCCCAAAGGATCCCCTTTCTCCGCTCTCCGCTCTCCCTTTCAGCTTGTGCGTGTGTGTGTGTGTGTGTGTGTGTGTGTTTGGAGGAACTTTTCCGTTTGCCATATGCGTTATCACGTACACATAAAAATGGCGTAAATGTTTTCGAAAGTTGCATCAAACTTGCTATGAAGTATGCGCCATACACACCGAAATCGCATGAAATCAGCAGACAATGGACCATGGAACCCATTCCCCCCTCCCCCCCTCCCCGATCACCCATCACCCAGCCCCCTGCCCACAAACAGAAGACAGCCATAGGATGTGCAGGGCACGTTTAAAAGTCAAAAGAAATTAGAGGCAACATTTGAAGGTTTCTTGGAAGAGAATGGATGAAGCAAATTTAGAAGAAATGTGATAGGAATACTGCAAACATTGAAAAAGGGTATATGGAGAGAGCAACGAGACTGCAGGCCTTTCCATTCTTCTCCCCCTACTCTCTAACTATGTAAGTCCAGACTTTTCCTTAGATCTCATTTCCATTACATTATTAATCTGGTTCTTTGCTGCGACAGAGAAATCCTTGTCTTTGAGCCGCATGGGTGGGGATGGGTGGGGTTACACATGTTACGTTTTCAAGTACGAAACAAGAGGAGCTTCCTCTGATGGTCTACTTTTCCAGGCTCCCTCCCTCCTGCCGTGGTTTGTCTTCCTTTGGCGGCAGGTGCATGCCACATGCTGCATGGTGCATGCGAAGGCGGCTGCAGAGGCTGAGTTGGACCGTGTTGAGTAGTCGGTGCATGTAATTATAGTAAGCCTTTTGGCGTTTTTCGATTCGAGACTTTGAAGTTCCTGTTTGACGAAAGACCAAAAGAGATTATGGCCAACGAGGGATGGGGATGGGGATGGGGATGGCGATGGGTATGGTTAATTAGTGCTCAATCGGAAGGTGTTTGCCATTCAACTTGACTGCGGGGCCGCGGATATTAATGCAAAGAGACTGGCACCCGCAGCGAGTTCTCATTAATTATGTGGATTGATGTACGGATGGCCCCACACCTCCTACTACTACTGCTACTACTCCCACTCATGAGGATCATGCGGATTATGCCGTAGGGGTCCTAATGATGCCTGATTGGATGCGTCCTCTTAGACACACTTGGCTGTAATCACGACATCCAGCGCCGATGCACAGACTTTAAGTCGGAGGCTCAAGGAGCTTGTGTAATTGATGTTTAATTGGAAAGTAATTAAAATTAATAATTCATTAAATGTGAGTGGAAAATACCAGCTGGCTTTTGTTGCCTGGAACAATGGAGGTCTTTCCGCGCTTTCCCCAGAAACAATGGACATAGTTCCATGAAACCGAGTCGAACAATGCATCGTCGCATACGCCATATTTTCCCTGGTGCCGATATAAATATTTGTTTTAATTACTTTTGGCATTGCAAAGGAGTTAAAAGAACGAAATATTGCGGTCACCGTGACTGCGACTGGGTAGGACACTGTTTCTTCGCTTCATTTGATTCCCAGATCCAATGTGTGGCAATCAGTGTCCCATATGTATGTATGTATATGTTTTTCTCTTCCTTAAACGACTCCCCATTTGTAACTTTTGGCAGCAGTTTTAATCACAGCCGCTATGGAACTAATTAAGGGCAACACATGTTGAACGATCGGGCATGTTGATGAATGCCCCAAAATGAGCCAACCGGGCAGACCATTACTCATCTGAATGTGCTGAATGGACATGATTCCGTCCGACTGTACGAGTATGAAGGCAGTTTGCAACTCACTTAACAGATCATTTATGAGACCTGCCTGACAATTTTCATGTCAGCTGCGTTTTCAGCGAATTAAAAGTTTAACAAAAATTTGTATTTGCTATTTCGTTTCTCATTTTTGGTGGTTTTACCATAAGCTGGGAGGCATACCAATGACAGACCTGGAATCCGCTTTGCAACCAATTTTAATTCCATCCTAATGAGCCCACACAAAGGAGTGGCATCAATGAGTCTCATGTTTTCCTATCGAATTGCGTTTTCCCCATTTGCCAACAGCCATTTTGATAATGCTCGAGTGTCTGTCGTCTATGAAAACAGCCGCAGGACTGTGCCACTCGTACGATATGCAATTTCACGTCTCATCTCTCGTCAGACGTGGACGGGAGACAGCTGCCTGATGCAGACATCTGCGAAGGCGTATCTGTATCTGCATTTCAATTAGGCCTTAGGGCTCGTCTGATGCCTGATGCCCGATCCCCGATCCCTGATCCCTGTTCCCTGTTTCTGTATGCTCCCGCAGTTGACTTCACAGTCCGTTGGACTATTCGTTTTTTCATTATTAATAACACTCGAATATTCATTAAAAGTCAACAATTTGCAGTATTCCGCATGCGTGTTCTGCGATGGGCTCGGATTAAAGCGAATCGAATAAATTAAATGTCAGCATGTGCTCTCTCGGCGCCCTCGTTGCCGTTTTGGTCACTTAATCACGTTATTGGCGCTTTAAGAGCGCTGCCAGAATGTCCTCCGGGCACTCCACTGAACCGTAATGGACGTGAATCGAACAGTCTCAGTAATCCGAACAGATCTGATAGCCAAGTCCTGTCGATACCCTGCACTGGCGTCGCACTGGTTGCATTCGTGTAATTGTAGCTTTTGGCGGACTGAATGGCCATTGAAAGCTACAATTGACAGCCGAATAGAGCCCATTGTTTGGTATTTATTTTTGAAAAGAACCCCATATTTGGTGAACGGATTTTGTGAAGGAAAATGCATAAATATTTGCGCCTCATTAAATACTGAAATGGCCCAACAAAGGCCAACAAACATATGTTACTCCCGACCAAATGTCTGTGTGGCTGGGCGGATGTGTGGATGTGTGGATGTGTACTATATAAAGCATAAAGCCGCGAAACAAATGCCTTTTGCTGAAAGCCAAACGCCCCCGAAAGCAGTGTTGGTACTAGCGACGGGCCAAACACAAAACAAACACAAATACAAATACAAATACAAATACTTTGTGTTCTTCTGCAATTTCCTGTCTCGCCCCAGGGGTCCCATGTGCCACAGTATACGAGTATTGTTTGCATTTTGCCACAATAAATGAATGATGGCAACACGTCGCGGGCCGTGCGATATTTAATTGCCATTATCGTTTAATTTTTGTTGCTGAAATATTCCGTGGCTCAAGTACATGGCACAGAGTGCCATCCTCGCATCAAAGGGCGCCTAATGCAGCAATCCACAGTCAATGGATATACTGCTGGGCGGGTGCATTGACGGAAAACCCAGCAAACCACTATCCACTGTGCGCACAATGAATGCCCCCTGATCCGCATTTGGCCAAAACGTATTTGCAAATGCGGCCAATACTTGATTTGTTTGCTTTTCCCTTTCAGTTTCCATTTGAAACGAGCTTCGACCGTGTAATCGCCAACAGTTTAATCGTCTTTTTGTCCATGTGGGGGTATATGTACAGTGATAATAACATGGCCCACGCACACGCACACGCACACACACACACACACACACACACACTATTTACGAGTATTATCACTTAGATTTGAATGAGCTTTTCCTTTTGATGCGTTGTATGACAATCAAAATGAAGTCCTTGCCGAGTGTGATGTTCACCTCGCCCCCATCGGAGCGGAGGCGCAAGAATGTCATGTCGTTGGAGGGGTTCAGATCCCGCACCACATTGTGTCCCATCGTCACAAGTGGCTTCAGATTGGACACATACATGTGGGTGCGCCGCGGACTGACAGTCGAGCGCAGTGTATGGCCATTGGCATCCATGATGATGATCTCGCGCGCCCCCCGTTTGGCGAAATGGGTGATGAAGGCATCGCCATCGTAGGATCTCTCGACACTATATGAAGATACGGCTGTAGTGCGGCTATTATTTGGTGTGTGGCATGTGCGGTACTCACTGGGCGTCTGGGTGTTCCGTGTGTACTTTTCTTTCTTCAGTCATTTTTCTGGTGTGACTTTTGCCTACGGAAACTACTTTTCAATGACTTGTGGAGAGGTCTATCCCCAGGGGTACTGTGTTCGTTTGTTCTGATCTTTTATTTACTAACAACAACATATAATTTGAATGGAACTACTGTGGAACGGGGATGCGAGTGCGGAGGAACGCCAGGATGGCGTTCGTTCCGGCGCTCAGAATTTGATGACGCGGCTGTCGGAGCGGATTGCCCATCAGATACAGCTCACGAATGTTCTGCAGGTTGCCCAGGATGGGCGGCACTTGGCGAATATCATTGTTGCTCAGATCCAATACCTGGAGATTCTTTAGGGCACCCAGTCCCGCCTCGCTGGCATCGATGTCCTTGATGTGATTATCGTGGGCCAAGAGGGTCTCCAGGCTCTGCAGATCGCCGATACAGCGCGGCAGACGCTCGAACCGATTGAAGGAGATGTCCAGCGTGCAGAGCATCTGCAGGCCCCCAAACTCCATGGGCAGATCGCGCAGCAAGTTGCAGGGGACCTTGAAGTGGGCCAACTTCGAGAACTGCGACATGCTGGTGGGTATGTACGAGATCTGATTCTTGGTCAGATCCAGCTGGGTGAGCAGCTCGCTCAGCATGTTGAGATCCTTGGGCACCTCGCCCAGCCTGTTGTCCTTTAGCTGCACGACGTTCACCTCCTCCTGGCGCGCCTCCTCGAACACCTCCATGGGGATCTCGGTGATCTGACTCTTGTAGATGCTCAGCACCCGTGTGCCGCGCATGTCGTACTTGTCTGGAAACGGCGATCCATTCTTCGCGTCCCCGCCGCCTCCACTCTTGCGTTGCTGCACCCGAGGGCTGTTCAATCCGTCGGCGGGCATCTCCTACAATCAATCAACTGTTGGGAAAGCCGACTGTAAGGTCAGATTCGTCTCGGAAAGCCCCGCAGTACTCACAAGTTCAACGGGGAAGGAATTTAAGCTACGGCACAAAAGTTGTATATTTTGTAAATATCCCTCTACACAGCACGGAGTAAGAGTAAAGACTGAAACACTCATAGATGAAGCTGTTTTAGAGACAGTAAGAGTGACAGAATTCTCAGAGAGAACCGAGTCGGTTTCGAGTCATAAATTGACTCATGTGCGGAGTGTAAAAGATACTTTTTCCGAGAGCTATAGGAGTCAAGCTTCAAAGATCTGTCTGCAGAACATACTCTACACAGCTAGTGCATTCGCTGTGAGCCGACATATGTATGCAGATTACTCGTATTTGATATTTGTTTTTATTTTGGGAAAATTTACATTATGTTTTATTGAATTTGACGATGCATCCTATAATTTTACACTCGAACGACCAATGATTCAGAGCACGCCACAGCCAGTTATCAGGACAACGCCCTGAGAAGTGGCCAGGTGGCCGGTGGCGTCCTGAATGCGCTCCAGTAGATGCAATCCCTTGCGCACCTTGCCGAATGCAATCCGCTTTCCGTTGAGAATCGACAGCGGCTGGAAGCTGATGGTGAAGTTGATGGCGGAGCAGAGATGGCTGCGCACATAGCGGCTGGGGAACGAGAGGATGCCAGCATCGACGCCATGATTGAGGACGTCGAAGTCGTGCTCAATGTTCCTGAGATCCTGTTTGAGCACGGTGGAGGGGCCCATGTCCAGGCGCCCCTCCAGCCACATGGGTGTGAGCGTGCGCGAGAAGGTGATGGCGGCGCTGTTGCCCTGCGTGCAGGCGCGCATGAACTCGAGGACCACCTGGGGACAGGCCTCCGTGAAGAGCTGGATGATAAGCCGGCCCTGGATGCGGGTGTCGCGCACCTCGACGTCGAAGTAGATCTGCGGGCGCAGCAGCTTGCAGAGGTTGCCCACGTCGCATTGGTCCATGAGGCTCTCGTAGCGGTGCAGGATGTGCATTGGAATCTCGTAGCTGAAGGTGTGCGAGGCCTTCGGCTTGTTGCGGCGCGATCTGCCCGCGTCCGGATCGAAGAGCTGCCCGCCCTTGTGGAACTGCTTGTTCTTCTCCTGCTGCTTCTGCTCCTTCTCGCGGGCCATGCTCACGTGCCGCCAGCGGCCGACGGCCAGTCGCTCCGGCGAGCGGGTGAACGTCCGCAGCGTGTTGTTGCTCCGCTTGTAGAGGGCCGTCAGCATCTCCATGTAGGGCAGCTCCATGCCGTTGCCACTGACCTTGACCTTGGGCGGCGGCAGGCAGGTGTTCACCTTCCCCTTGATGGTCGTCAGGCGCTCGCGGTGCTGGCGGTACAGCTCGCGCTGCTCGTTCATCACCATAGGCGAGCGGGTCTGGGGCATCTGATTCTTTCCGACCGCCACGGGAATCAGTCGCTGGTGGTGCCGGTGGTTGTTCTCCAGCGCCTTCCGGTTGATGTTGAACGAGTGCTGGATCTCCCCCGACGGTTCCTCGCTACTCTCCAGGTAGGGATTGCGGCGCTTGAACACCGGGTTCGTCAGGGTGAAGGGACCGCGCTTGGCGGCTGCCACATAAGGTGCCACAGTGCCGACATCTTGGGGAGTGGAGCCTCGGGCTGCCCGCGTATTTTCGCGCAGAAACATTTTGCGAATCGGTGGGGCGTTCGTTAACCAAAATAAACGTAAAACTATACTTGAATTTTAACAAATTATTCAGCAAACGAATCGTGTGATGACTTCTAGTGAATGACTGAGAAGCTACACTACTTTTGCTGTGATTTAGAGGAAAGGGGTCACTGAGTCTGGGACTATTCGAAGGGTACAGCAATCAAGTGGAAGCAGGAAATGTTTGTTTTTCCTGGTGGAACTGTCATGGAATGTGGAACCTGTTTTGCACGTCAACAGGATACCGGAACAGGAATGGAGTCTGAAATGAATCCGAAAAGTGCCGGGCAATCATTTCTAATTTACCAAACGGCAATATTGCAACTCAATTGACAGAACGGAGAACGGAGAACGGAGGACGGGTGGCAATCATGTGGCAAGACTCCAAAGTTCTATCAATATGCCACAATAATGAAAATGGAATCACCCACACACGCACACAGAAAAACTATTAGGAAGAACTTTTCAGACATAGAGCCACAGAGAAGAGTGAGAGAGAGAGAGAGAACCGCAGCCTGATTGAAGTCATAAATGAATGAAGTATTGCTCTGGCCAGCAAAAGAGCAAAAAAAGCCAGCAACCTGAGTCGGAGTCGAAATTGGCATCTGATATTGCCAGGAAAAAAGCGAGTGGCTTCCAGTTTCCCGGATAATGGTATCGATTCATTTGTACAAAATTCTGTGAAATTGTTTGAAGGCTTTTATGCGTTGCCTTTAATACCTTGTAAAGCAATAAAAACAAATGTGGCATGTCCTTTGCGGCGAAAAAACATATGCATCAATTATGTATTAGTCACCGACTCCCTTCAAAAATGAACTCCGTTTTAATTAATTAATTACGGCGTATACATATTTACTTGAGCGGAATGAACATTTGCGGTGATCCGATTAGCGCGTTTTTGCATAATTACGGATTTAATTAAAAACTCTGCCAAATATGCAGAATTTAAATGTAATCTAAATTAAATTGAAAATCACACTTTTGCAACATTTCTAAATGGTTTCGTTGGGCCGACGAGACGAATTGATTTTACTTCTGCCGGTTTGGACGGCTCGTTGCCTGTTTATTATTATTAATTTGCAAACACGCGAAGGGATGGTTGAATGGAGCTCCTCTCCTGTCAGTGACAGGCCTGCTATGGACAGACTTGATGCAATTTTTTCCACCCAAGTGTGTACAGATCCGCTCGGAGGTGTGGTCGAAGTGCAGCCTAAGATCCAAAAGGCGGGTAAACAAAAAATTACCTGTTTCGAGCTCAACTACAGACCAATTTAGATGAGCTGAATTTGTACTCCCCTTTGTAGTAGGTTCCTTCATTCACTTTTTAGGCTCCTGCTCTCTTTGAGCAGAGAATCATAGAGGAGGAGGACTGAACATTAGGCTTGTCATCTTTAGTGGCTTTCATTTGCAACAAAACCAGTTACTATCGAATGACAGCCCAACAACAGCAATCCTTCCGCCAAATCAATGTCACAACCTTATTTATACGATCGTATTATCTTTATGATTTAATGGTATTTAAGGACTTTGTTTCGCTTGCTGTTCATTTTGTTTGGCGAGGCAGGGGATTCCATCGGATTTCCCCAACGAGCCTTCGCCGGTTGTCATCTCATTGAGCACGAAAATGATAATGACAGCTGGTGTCAGGGGAATTATCGCGGACATGGAGTGTTCCATTTTGTTTTCGAAAGCCCATTGAATGCACAATTAGCGAGCACTACAATGGGTTCCAGTTCCATTTAAGTGAGCTGGCGAAAATTGGCAGGAATATTAAAGTTAAGTTCCACGGACAAACTAAACAATATTCACACACAATATAAACACACAACAAAAAATCCGTTCATTAATTAGTTTACTTTTCAGATTAAATTATGTACATTTTTCAATGGCATATGTGGTGCCCGTATAACCAGATCGGAAGAGTTGAAAAAATTGCCCATCGATTCGCATTAATTGATTGTTAATACGGCAAAGATTTGCGGCTATAATTAAATGATTAATGCGATTGTGTGGATATGTGGATGGCATGAATTAAGAGCATGGCTAAAGCACTTGTATTTATGCGGTCATAGTGGGTAAATACCCGCGCAAATATACGAATATTGGAATATATGTATGTGTGTACTGTGTAATCTGATGCATTAATGGGCTCCACTTGTACGATTATATAGACACCGAGCATCTGAAGGGCATCTCAGGGCTCGGCGCTCTGCGCTCTGCGCTTAGGACTAGGGACTCGGGGCAAAGTGTCATTAGGGCAGCACTCTTATCACTCAACAATCAATGTCAGCGCCAGTGGAATGGGTGGGTGAGTGGCAAGGAGCTGTCAGACAGTGAACCACTTGAGCGTTTTTTGTCCTCAAGTGCCACACCACCCACCCACACCTATCCCTCCACATTCTGGATGGATGCATCGGCATCATCATTCAACAAGATTCCTTCTCCTTCTCCTTCTCCTTGCCCTTGGGTCTATTGTCATCCTCGTGGTTTTCCCACATCCCCACATCTGCTATGCTCTTCACATTCCAGTGTGCAACTTAAAAATGTGTCGACAATAAACCCCTCCGCACTCACCCGCACTCATACTCATATTCATTGTATTCACATGAGGACAAATGACTGCAATTCGATCAAATATTGTGCATACACACACATTGCGGGTTCGTTGCATTCAAAGTATTTCATTTAGTGCCCAGGATATGCCCAGGATGTGCCCAGGATGTGCCCTCCTGTGGTGAATGCATCGATAGGAATGCTGGGAATTCCCAATGGATGGCCGCAATAGCAAATATTGTACGGTTATAGCACAAATAACTGAATACTATGGGAGCTCCATTGCCTCCAAAGCCTCCATTGCCTCCAAAGCCTCCATTGCCTCGATAATTCATCCACATTTTCCAATGTCCATTCAAGGCTCCGGCAATATGGAATTCCTCAGTTGTCTGACCTTGAAGGCACCCACCGTATAGATACACTTACTCTTATGAATACATTCCGGCAGATACTTTTTTATGGGCGAAAACAGAAGCCGGCCAGACGCTGGCTAAGAGCATAATGGATCATAAACGCTTTGGCTGTAAAAATGTGATTTTATTGTGTCTGCTCCGACGCGTCTTTTGCCTCCATTAACCGAACATCTGGCTTATGGAACCTGTCTTATTGCTGTCCTGTCCCCCACGCCTCCTCCACGCCACCCTCCCCCATATGTAGACGTCTTTTTATGACATTCTTTACTCCGCAGAGGGCGTGTGGCACTACTCTGTGTTTGTCATATTTTTATGCTTATTGTGGATGGAACTTTGGCCGAACAACGTCATGGAAATGGAATTTGTGAGTATTTAAGCTAAGATTTGGCTAAGAGAAAGCTTTCGGATTGACCAAAAAATGCTTACTTAAATGGCAACGCCATGCTTACCACGAATTACAACGGCAAAGAAGCTTATGGAGATCTCTCTTGTTGGGCGTCAATTTTGGCTTTTATGAACGAAAGATGAAGAAATTAAGCATTTGAGTGTTGGCCCTTCGGATACGATTCTGTTGAATCGCTATGGATTGCTATTCTCAGAGGTATACTAAAATATTACCCACACAAATCAATCAATATTCATTAAATTAAGCGTAAACGCAAACCCAAATGAAGGGCTTTAACTGGTACTTTATCTGCTGCCTGTCCGTTTGAATGCCATCAATTCTGCGCTCCCCACAGGGCCAGAAGACGGTTCGGTCGCTGGATGTCCCAAATTGTTTGAGCCCCAAAGACATCAGTTAATTAATGCCATTAATGGCTTGGCAGACGCTCTCTCTCTCTCGAAGCCAGTAATTAACGCTGTTGAGATAGTCACACACATGGATGGGGCTGGGGGGAGTTGTCACGCCTGAAGGATTATATCAGTTAGCAAGCAGGATTAATTCACAATAAGCAAAGGTGTTAATAGACCGACGACAGCTTTTGCCGCAAAAGTTAGCCCACACGAAATATTTAATCCACTTCGAGGCGAACCGTCCATGGAGCAGAAGCAGGAGCAAGGAGCATCCATCCATTAAGAAGCAATTTCAAAGGTTTAGGGCGCTCCACTCCTCCGTTTCGGGCCTACCTTTTGTTGGCAATGCGAGGGTGCGGCCCAAAAAGGTAAAACGCTGAAAAAGTTGTCATTCCAAAGATGAAGATGCCGAGATACAATTTAAGGTATCCCATGTAATCCTTAAACAATTTTACTAGCCAAGAAGGGACTCCCTGCCAATTAGGTTAATGGGTCGAAGCAAGCGCCCCCTCCGCACAGCTCCCCCTCCGCACAGCGCCCTGAGGAGCTTCCTGTGCGTAAGCCGACGCGAAATTAAATGCCAAGGAGACTCAGATTACAACTGCGTTTAAGCGCAGGGCACGGACGGCACACAATGGCTTTTACATTTAATCCGCGATGCTTATTAAATTCCTGGTGAAAATGTCGCTGTTTTCATCGGAATTTTCCAGCACTGGACTGCAGGATAGAGACGAGAGCGCACGTATCCATCCAAAAAATGCAATAAGACACTAGTGCAATACAATGTTGAACTTTCTGAACATACACGATTGATCAAGCTGCGGAGCTCCGGGACATCCATTGAGTCGTTCATTCGGTCTAATGGCTGGGGATCACATGCATCGACCATTTAAGGACCGAATTGTGGAAATGCAAATTCTACCCAACAGGAGAATGTTTCTGAGACACTCACAAAGGCCCCATGAATGCAGGGGCTGGGACACACTTTCCCGCAACACCATGTGGGTGCCCCAGAGCTGGCTCTGAAAAGCCATATATCAAGACATTGCCCAACAATGGAGCCATGTGCGCACTGCACGCCATAAAGGATATTCAAAGCGAGTAAAACTTCATGATTTGAACACGTGTTAACAACGTAGGAGCAAGGCACGAGTGTTTGTGCTGCTGCCAAAAGGAAGGAAACGAAGGGAAATAGCTGGAAGGAAGCCATGTGGAGATGTGCACATAGATTCGCTGGGCATTCGTGTGGCGGGGCATTCAATTA